ATACTCGTGCGATTGATCGTTTTCTTTTCAAATACTTCCCTCTCACCTCCCTTTCGTCTTTCAAAGCGTGCTTACACGGCAAGTAGATAGCTGATTGATTAAAATGATCGTCGATCTGCTGCCGAATCCATGCTGTGCCCGTTTCTATCCGTTCGAAACTGTGTGTACGCTCAGCCGCTAACAGGGAAACTGCATTTCCGCGCAGCCGGCGGTCGAAACGATGAAAACTTTATTAACCTCGCTACGGACGACGATAAAACGGATCTGGCTGTGGCCTGCAGCACACCACTCTGCGAAAGATCCAGTAGATTTCCGGATCGCGGCGAATCGATGAAAAGTGAATACCCGACATCGCGCGTCGGATATCTAATATTCAGATATCATATAGACTTTTGTCAAGGTAACTGAATGAAGCGGTTGGAAAAGTAAGCGTGAATTATCGATGGATTCTGATTTCTCCTCTCTCCATTCTTTTTGCGCAAAAGACTTTACAGATTGTTCCAGCAATCATAGATTGTCCGTGTTTTGATTAATGGAGTTATTTAAATGTCCTTAATAGATTTAAAAAAATAATAAGTAATACGTATATCGTAAATTCTCTTTTATTTTGAGGGAACCTCAATTTGAGATTTCAAATTACAATAATTTTAAAGAAATGTGATTTGAGATTTTTAATATTTAATAGAAATGTACATTATTAAATTAGATCTTGAATTACGTTTCCCGAAGAAGAAATAGATTTTAAATTTGTTAAAGTTAAACGTAATAATTTCTAGAATATTTCGTACATTCTTATTTCGATTTCATTCGACAACTGCCATTATGCATGCATGCATGAGAATATATATTCGGTTGCATCAAACGTGCTATGGATTATTTTGGCATGAAACAGGTATTCGAAAAAGTTGACGGGGAGGAAATGTTGCATAATATCCCTCAAAGGAGATATTTTCAATATTGCTCGCAAATCGAAATGTATGCATTTATAAAAAATATGGATGCATTCCTAGAGAGCACGGAGTGTGTCTATTTCTCCAGTTCCTCTTTCCATTTTTCCATTTTACGAAATATGAATTGAATTCTGTTTTTATCATATAACGGACGTTTTTCTTCTATTCTTTTTTGTTTTTTTTTCTTTTCGGTAGATTGATTTGTATAGATTGATTCACAGCGTGTGCGTGACACAAATATAATAATCGTATTGTCTCGTTAAGTGATATTATACAATTTTTCTACATTTTCTACAATAGCCAAATTGCAAGCAACGCATTTTCGAACGAAAAAGCATTTAATATCCAGCGACAAAATTATATTCATAGTGCATATTATACAAACAAAATGTATAATTAAAATATACACGCATTAATATTAATTAAATGTACTTGTTATTTTAATGCATAAAATAAACGTTCATAAAATTACCAGCATTCGACCTCATTAATTTTTTTCAACTTTATTATATCCGGTCTATTTCGATGTGGTACAGCTGTGGTCAGTAACTCGAGATTTTCTCGCGGAATATTTTCTAAAACGTTCATGAGAGACGTGGCGTCATGTAAATTTTGTAAACCATAGGGAACGCAACTCGTTTATGAGACGCGGCGCGACATGGAAGATCGAGTGCAATTCGAGCCGACATATAATATTTGAATGTCGTACAAATGACTTGCACATTGCTCGGATAATCGAGACATCCGAGCGAAATCGTTCTGTCCGTGGTCTATACGCGGATTACTATTCACAGCAGCCAGGGATTTTCGTTCTCTATTTCAACCCGCGATAAACCGAACGAGCTTCCATCGACCAGATTTTTTCGATTGGTAAATGGTGAGACAGGATCGTGAAATATTGTCCCAAATATTGCCAATTACAGTAAACGTTCTGTACGCTTTAAATCTTCACTTGAAGACTGTTAAGAATATATGAAAGTATGATATAATAAATAATTAATACGAGGTTATTATAAATAGCTTGCTATTGAATTATTTGTATTGCTTATTTATTTTGTAAAAATGTCTTAAAATAAAATATTTGTTTTGCTCTTCTGACCGTGTAAGACGAATATATCTAAAGGGGTTTTGTGTTATTTTTCTGTACGAAGGTTTTTGATATATCGGATATTGTTGACGACTCACGATATAAGAGCGAATCAAAGGGACCTTTTCAATGTCTCCAGCAGAAGAAAAAGTTTTTCTCACGAAGCTCTCTTCGTCTTGCTACATCAGTTTTGTCTTCTGAAATGTTTTGCCTAACTTTCTCTCTCTTATGTCCATCCTACTTTGCGGTTCTTTGACGTTCAATTTGAACATTGGAACTTTCAAGGATCTGAAAACGTTAACTTTTTTCCACAATTTTTCTACTGCTACGGCCGAGAGAACGAGATGAGGATGGCAAGCCCACGGGGAAATGCCTATCGCGGACGGAATGATAAAAGATAAAAGTCTGATAAAGGAGATAAAACGCGACGCGTTACACCAATGTCATATAATGTGTAACGTTGCAGTTTTCTCCACAGAAAATACGAAATATAGTCTAAAAAAAAAAAACTCGTAATAATCTTCTGCGCTTTTCGTGAATGGGGTGAAAATAGTCACCGTATATAAACAATATGTCATTTATGAGTTTTTCGAGATAACGTCGGTCTTCAGCCGGCTACCCGTTCCCGATGGACGTGTGTGTTTCGTTGTTACGATTTTTCACATCCTACGAAGAACATTTCGCGAATATGTTTCGCACGAAGCGGGAATGAATCCAGCTAATGTGTTTTTACTGACTATGACGCACTCTGACTCCTGCGTCATGTGAGGTTTATGTGCTCTCGCGTTAATTTACTCCAGATGAGAGGAAGATATTCCTCTCTAGAGGCGGGAATAAATGTATGTAACCTGGATATTAAGAATTCCTGACGAGAATTATGCAAACATTTTCATATCCCTGTCCACGTAGATGTTGCGAAAATTTCTTTCTGATGAGGGAATGATTTTCTCTCTCTCTCTCTCTCTCTTTTCGAAAAAATACACACATGTACAAGGTTGACAGTATAAGTAATTTAAAATTTTGAAGGATAATTTCTTACACAAATTAAAGGCTTGGTTTCAAAGGTACAAAGTGTCAAAGAGAAAATTTGATTTTTCCCAAAATTCTTTGGTATTCAATATTCACTCTCTGTAGATAGTAAATCAATAATTGTAAAAGTATGTGCTTTACATATTTTCTTTTTTTTTTTATCGTGAAATTATTGGGTAAACAGAAATGGTGCAATTTTCAGTCTTAAAATATCTCTTTTTGTAATAAAAATCTCTTTCATATTCGATCAACTCATATTTCGAAGAAAATACCTTGCTGTCGAAGAGATATATATGTACATGCTTCTACGGATCTGTGAAGAGCGAAGAGTTGTTCACTTTCAACGAAGTTTACAGGATAGCTTTCCTCGCTTACTGTATATCTCAATTTTTTTTTCTTCCCCAATAGATCCAAACGTTATCGTTCTTTTGTGCGCGGAGCATACTCATCCCCGAGCGAATTTAATATTACAAAACGGAATTGCAGACGGTGCACCGGAAGTCGACCGGCCCAAGAGGGCTGTCCCCGATGCGCCATCGTCTCTATTCCTTCTGCATCCCGGATGATGCACCGGTGCCGGGGATTTGCAGTCGCAGCTGATACTGCCGTTGCTGTCGCTGCCGCTCGGCAGCATATGAGACTCTCCGTATGACTCGCTGAAAAATGCAACGTGCAACGCGGTGTCCTCCGAACCTAACGCGATATCTCCGTCCGAAAGAAAACAATCCGTTACAACGCGAAATTATGCAACGGCATGCTTTCGCGAAAATATAGATATTAAACTGTTGCTGTGGGGAAGCTTCTATACTTTCCGAGAGAGCCATTTCATAAAATGTAGATCCACCGAGACGAAGGTAAAATGTGCTTAACTTTCCGCGAGAGAAGTTTTACGATCGATCCTTCAATAAATAAAACTGTAAGGAAAGATGGATTATTATATAAATGTTTTTATATTATTTTTACGTCGATGTATCGTGCAATATTTAACGTAATGTTTTTATGTAATTTTTTTTTCATTTTTTTTTTATATATATAGTTCAGTTGAAATATTGTTAAATTTTGCTTTTTATTTGCAAACGAAGATGAAATCGGGCTTTTCGTAGAGAAACATTTCGCGTATAAAATGTCTGCCGTTTCTTTCTTTTCCGAAAGCCGTTTTTTTAATATTATGTCCGTGCGCAGTCGGCTGATATTAATAAGTCGTAGCTCATTACTGTAAATACCCATAAATCTGATCGCGTTTGCATGGCGCATCCAGCAAACGAGTTAACGTTGTTCCGGGCATTTATAACTCGCTCCCATTTCGCGGTGCAGCACGATGTAGGCAAAGGGTAGTTTACTGTCTGTGTTAACCACCAGAAAAGCAGCTACTTTTCCCATCGTAATCTTCACGTTATCTCTCTAATTCCCGGCATTTGTATGAGCGCAGTATATAAATAAACGCGGTAAATCACCCTATTTGCAGGCATTATATCTCCACCTCTTCATTTAATTTTAAGCTATACATCCTGGAGTTCGCGAATATAACCTGTATATTTACGAGTACACAAAGATTAATTGCAGTTAATCGCCCTTCGATATTCACTCTGTTAACAGAATCGTGAGCTACACCTCGTATACGTTTTAACTTTTCCCTATGATAAATTCGACCGTTGGCGCGCGAATAAAAATACACGACGCGACGTGATTAATTTACTCGCGCAACACACTGGACTTTAAAAGCGTTTGATACAAGAGGCACGTTCGAATGTCATCAAATATCGAATTTCTCCCATGTATCGATGTTATTGACTTTGTAGATAAAATTTCACGTGGCGTGTAGTCGTTGGCAAATGTAAACACAAAACTACCCGCTACCCTGCGCGCTTGATGATCATTGGGGTTAAACATAATTAAAATCTTTGTTTCAGGTCGAGAGAGAGGAGAGAGGCAGAGAGAACAGCCATCGCGTGGAGTAGAGAGCTTCGAGGACTTTGAAATAGACATGTGCGTCAAGGATCAATTGGACGTTGTTCGCCAATGACATAGGGTGAGTTAAGTGTCGCATTGAATTTATAGGGACGCACAGATTTTTTGTTACGCAAGAAATCGTGTTTCGTACATCGATTGATGTACTTATCGATAATACACGTGCTCTTTGACAATATTGCGTTTGCAGGCGAATACAGCCTTGGCGGAAAGTATAGAGCACTCTCACAAATTGACGTAAACGTTCTACATCTAATGAAAAATAACTTTAAAACACGTTTTATTGAAGTTTATTGAAAAGTAATATTTATTTTATTGAAAAATAAAATTTGTATTAAAAAGTAATATTTATTTTAAAGCATTTTAATATTTTGTTAGTTTTCTTTGTTTTTCAAAATATGATTTTATTACCGCTTTTTCCTCCCGCCCTCCCCCCCAAAAAAAACGCAATAAATTGAAGGTACTTTATACTCGTGACTAAGACTGTATCTTTGATAATGAATAATAATAAATTCTCTTTTGTATTTTTTATTAATTGTTCGACGATTCAAACGTGAAAAGGTATGGCTAAAATTTTGCAATACACGGAGCGTATGTGTTGTATATGTATATTTTATATATTTCCAAGAGAATACGTGCGCGACATATATTTCTCTTAGCCCATGCGATTTTCTGCCTTTTTCAATACGGTTGATCGTTTTCGAGGGAACTCGAGAGAAAGATTACGAAAATGCAACGTGCGAAGGTAAAAGGAATATACATTCTCAACACGGCACAATCGACGTGCATTAGGACGTGCGATCTGTTTGCGCGCGGCCATAAATGGCCACGCTAGAGCATGTCGGCGGATATGGTTTCTCAATAGTTTCTCAAACGATTAGGTGAAAGGTCCACCTCCAGAAGGGACCCTTCTCCATTTCAGTCTCACTCTCCCTTTTCATTAGATCTGATTGAAGCCGATACTATTTCTCGACAACTCACGCGATATTAAAAGAAAAATCCCAATAAAGCACGGAAAGAACAATTCTACTGAAGTATCTAAAAATTTAGCTAGAAAATAATTTTGTTGGACCATGAAAATATTATTAACGAACTCAAGCACGATGAGTAAAGCTGTAAAAAGTTTTGACATTCTCGTGACTGGCTTGAGTGTCCTACATAATGGTTCAACAAAATTATTTCCAGTTGTATCTAACTAATAAGTTTTTAAACCGTTTTCAGTAAAACCGTTTTTTCCCTATGTCATCGAATATATTTTATTTAGCGTGTGTGTATATTAATATTCGTAATTGATGTTTAGTAAATATTACCGAGTATACTAATACTAACCAACCGTTTGGTAATTCAAAAAATAAGATAATATAATATTTTGAAAAGGAAAATTAAGTTTAGTTTTCATTATACATTAACCGAACACTTGATTGAAATTATTTGATCGAAAAGCTCTGGTAACTGTTATCCAGGCTTGATTACTATTACTAGACTTTTTCAGTGCACACGCGATGTATATAATTACATACGCAATTTGTTTCGCTCGTCGCCGTGCGTTCTCGTTACCCTGCACGAAATATGAAAAATGACCCCATTAAAGCTTGCCTTCTTCCGTGAAACGTCACAAGGTTTTCAGATCCTTCGTTAAACGAAATAACGGGTTGAGCCGTCTTCGTTAAACGGTATTCTCGGAGATTTGAAAGTCCTCGTTGAAAAAGAGATCACAACGGCACACTGCCGGAATTTCCAAAGATTCTTATACAAGCGCAAACTCCAAGGAAATCTTGTAAGGATCTTAAGGAAACAATGCGTATATAAAGACCTATAAATTATATTACTGGGAAATAATAGCCTCACGAGGAGTGTCCAGAATCGCAACGTAATCGTCTGTTTCTTTCAGATTCTTTGCGCTCGATATGTCTCTAATGTGCTCGTTTTTAATGCCGTGCGAATCGATATTATATATGTTTATCGTTCTCGTGCGCTACATTCCGCTCGCTGCGGGTGCTGTGCAGATAACTAATTGGTCGAAATAACAGTTACTAGCTGCGTTATATCTCGCGGAGGGGCCATTCCGGGACGCGCCTTGGCGCGCTTCCACCGTGGAAATCGACGGGCAAAAGTGATTTATCGATTGAATTCTAATTTCCGGGTCTCTGCATAACTTTTATCTACGCCGCAGCGTAACGAATCGAATCGGACGACGTAGAAGGCGCGTCGTGAATATTATCGTCGCGCGATCGTGAACGTTCCTTTTTCACGGCACTACGCGGCCAATCCATCCGCGAAATTTTCGGATAAAAAATGGCTTTGGCGTTGTTACGCGTAGCAGCTTTCGACATTGGACGCGCCGCGGTCGCAATTTATTTGCAAAAAAAAAGAAAAAAAACGCCGCGACGCTAAATATTTCGCTTGTTAAAGCGACGAACAAAATTGCCGGGTAAATCCTAAATTTTCCACAGATGGTACCGGAATTGCACGCGATAACTATTTGTGTGGGGTACTCTCTTTTTTTTAGGATTCTACATCGGCAGCTTTACAGTTGACGAAGGCGTTGCCGCGATTTTTTCTGTCGCATTTCTCGTATGCCTTCCGCACGGACAGACTTGTGACTTTTTTTTTTATTCCATTTCCGATATCGTTTGAACAAAAGCGATATTTTTCTCTATTTCCCCACAGCGTCATAGCGAAACACAAAGAGTGGCAGTTCTGGAATTCGTTTTCAATTTGCGGACGTCAACGGCCAAATTGGACGTAAAACTTCGCAATTGATTCGTTCTTTGTCTACGGTGAATCTGATTTTATCGGAAACATGGTTCACTTGCAATATTCGTTTCCTCCTAGTAAATTTTATACATACATAATTTTATACATGAAAATAAAAATAGAAACGAGACGCTCTCGTATATCTCCAATATCGTTGGTATTTTCGTAACTTTTCTGACAAAAGCTTTCTTGTCAAAAGGACTTACATTTATCACATATAAAAAAGTAACTTTAATCAAATTATTAGTTGAAACTGCGATACTTTGTAGATTATAAGGTGCTGTTTAAAAGTCGCTGTAGGCACAATCATAAAAAAAATTAGATTTTGTTGTAACATTTGAAAGCTGTATTTTGAGTCTAATCAAACTAAAAAATCTTTATCTACTAAAATATTTATTTTTTAGTAACTGAACTTTGATACTTTTGATACGTATACTTTACTTTTACAAGTAAAATACGAATCCATTGATGTATAAAGAAAACACATAATTGTTTTATCAAAAACATATTGCAAATTGTGTTATCTTTTTTAAAAGATAGCAAATTTAAAGTACGTTATCAACAAATGAATAATTAAATAGAAATTTATCATCAAAAATTTGTCATTTTTCATACGAGTGCTTATTTGAAACTTTGGATTAACAGCTCCTAATTCACAAATGTCACAGTCAAAATATTTTCCATATGATTAATACGTGGTTCTTTATTAATCAAACGCCAATTATGATTTAATTATAATAATAACGATAATTGATAACGTTTTAATATTATTCAAAATGCTGTTCCGTTTCTATTATTTCACCCGCATACGTCAGTGCATATCGGTGGCCGCGATATAGATGACGAGGGATGTTAATCAAGAGAAGGACAAGCACAACAAACCTGCTGGCGCCGGTTTCTGCCAATGTGCTCTCCGTCTCCGTCAACACAGTGCACTCGCCATACGCAAATCCCACACAGACTTTCCGTCCGCCACTGCTAAATTATAGACTGGCGTGTGCATATTTTCTTCCATGCATATTGCATATGGATAACGAGGGACACCACCGCTCCCGCCGTCGCCATCGCCCTCATAGAGAGTCGTTCCACAGAAGCAGCTACCGCGAAGCGCAATATGTCACGATTCGCACGAGATCTCGCACGTGTACGGGACTGAATCACACCTCTCTCTCTCTCTCTCTCTCGACATTAGGCTACTTCGAACTACTAGTCAGACAATGACAGAGAGAGAGAGAGAGAGGGCGGGCGGAAGTCGCCAAGAAATACCGAGATTTTTCCACCCAAGCTCCACTGACTTCCCACTTGGCTTCTCTTCAAGTCGAATCATCATCTCGAGAAAATTCTCCGCCTCCGTTCTTTTTATCCAGCGCGTCGTGGTGGGTCGTTTTTGCTAAGCAGCCTCGATCTTTCTTGCGGAGTCGCGAGGCCAATTTCTAAGTGCAAGTTACATTTAGAGAACCTTGAAGTAGTAACGAAATCAGGTCAGAGAATGAATACGAGTGAGATCTTTGTGTTGAGAATTAGAATGCCATACCTATCGATGGCAAAGCTTTGATATTTATCTTGTTTTTTTTTTCTATATGAAAACTTGATCGAAATAACGAGCAGTAAAATAAAACATTCATTTTGTTGTCTACTGATTACGCGCAATTATGATTTATCGCTTAGCTTGATGTCTTTCATATAAGACTTTTATAACTCGAAATGTTAGCGCATCTCGTGATAAAAAAAAATAAAAGAGCTAATTTTAAAAATAATAGATAACAGATATTAAGAGCATTTACTTGATACATGAATAGATCCACCCGTATTTTTACGCGAAAATCATGAAAGAAATTAGCGTAAAACGTAATCTATCACAATTTAATTTGCTTGATGATAAAATAACTGGTTGTGAACAGGAAAATTAATCATACAGGAGAAAGTAGTTCAAGTCATGTTCTTCTGAAGGGACTCGCTCGTTTCTTTCATTTTCTACTCTAGCTTGTTACTGCAGCTCCACAGTTTTTGCCGATACTCTTCTTGCCACTTCATGGAGTTCTTTGCTGTCCGTCCCAGCCATCTCCCAAGTATACTTGAAGACATTGCTAATTTGTAACGTACGTAGTTAGCGCCGGCGAAATCTTAAACAAAAGCGAATTGCAAATTTCCGTGTTTCTAGCTTGGTAATTTGCGTGTCTGAGGGGGAAGTTTTCGATTGCTAACTTGATTGCGGCGAACTAATTTGATAGCGAGTAAACTAGAGAATGACGGCGAGTTAATTAATGAATTTAACAAGTATTTGCTGTTTTCGCATAGTTTATT